TGGGGGGGCGCTTAATGGGGGAGTGGCAGGAGGCTTGGGGCATGAACAGGGTTCAGTGTCGCGTCTGGCATTATTCGTCGCATGCCCCATGCTCGGTTTCCTGTGCGCCCTGCCATGTCGTCATGCTATCGGAGGTTGCAGGTCCGGAGATGGGAATGGAAATGGGCAGGAGGAGGATATGGGGATACGAGGATACGAGCTGCACAGGATGAGGACGAGGATGTGGCCGGGTCTCATGCAAAACGTATATCGATTTGTTGGGTCACGAAGACGGCAAGTATCTCAGGTGAAAACTCTGTTACGATTTCACCACGTGTTGAGATATCAAAATTCGAAGAGGAAATAACTTTTAAGAGGTAAACAATCTATATTTTTAATCAGTTTTGTCTAGTACTTAATAATTTATTATATTTACTTTGCCGTATTCCTAGGAACCCTTCCGTTTAGCAGACCGCTTAAAAGCCAGCTGCGTAAATTGAATTTATCCGATGGGGCATACAATGTGAAAATTGCCAAAGGCGACACACAGCCAGCCAGTTTCATGATTTACAGCCGTATATCTTTTGGTGCTTTATAAATATTTGATGAGCGATTGCTCGCCCATAATTAGGCGCTACCACCTGAACCGAACTCGTCGTATCTTTGCGCTGCGCTGACATGTGCGTGCAACATTGTGGCAACTGCTATCTGGACTAGATACCCTGGGATCTATCTGGGATCTTGGCCACCTTATCACCGACCACTATCTGAACCCGACAAGTGCGTGCGACCCGGTAATAAAGGGTAGCTATACCGGTAATAAAGAGACCTGTTCTGGAATGGAAAATAATTAAGTTAATGCAAAATGCATTTTCAAATTGTCGGCTCAGGCATAATTGCCAGTGGGCTGTGTTTATGCCATTCTGAATGCGAAACTGACAGAGGGCTATATTCGGAAATCTATCATTTTTAATGGCCACCTTTGTTATCAGAAAATGTTAATTGATATTCTAAGTGAGCCCTTTAATTAGCAAGTTTTCTGCTCTACTTAAAAGTCATTTAAATTGTGGGTTATCAGTTTTACTGACTTTCTAATTGAAATTATAACAAATTATAGAGGCTTAAAATAGGCGTTTGAAGGTGGAGTTTTCTTAATTTTATAACTTTTTTAATGAGTGTTTTACCTAAGTGCATGAACCTGTAAGATATAGAGGACAAAGTGTGAGGCAAACTGAAAAACCACAAAGTTAGTCTTTTTGATGATGATTTTGTTTCATATTTATCAGTTAAAAATCATAAAGTAGTTCCAAAATAACATAAATTTATGGCCAAGAGCATGTAATATAGAAAATACTACCTAGTTATATCAACTTCTTGCCTTCTTCCTGCTTTACTTTCCAGCAGACCCTGCAATTGATATTCAAAGAACACATTCGCAAGCCAAATTATGTTAACCCGACAATTTGATCTTAACATAAAGTTACCATCTTGTTAAGCAGCTTTCCTTGTGAAAGGCAAACTCGATCCTTTCAACGCTTCTTATTCGGGAAAGGACTTGTAAGAGGGTCTTCCTTTTTGCTTATCCGCAGGGCCATTAAATTCATTAAAAGTGCATCAAAATTGTATCAGTAATTTGCTTGTAATCCATCAGCGTGTCGCCATTGACACCCGAGGGCCCTTCACTCGACGGCTCATTTTTTAGTCTTTTTAATGCACATATATATATGGTATATATATATATAGGTATATGAAAAATATGAATTACAATGTGAGCCGCAACATGTTAATAAGATGAAGTACGTGAATATGCACTTTGGCCCTCCGACTGGCAAATTCAATTAGGCGGGACGAGCCGAGACAGTCATGTGCGATAAGTGGCCGCCACAAAAGCCGCAAAAGCAGGCGACTTCTATATCCTATATATAGCTTATCCTTATCCGATCTGCGGTTGAAGTTGCAGCTGCAGATTCATTGTGTGCGAAACGAGCCGAATGCGTAATTTAATAAACTGGCGAGGGCAACTAGGAGCAGGTTCAGGACATTTGCGACAACGCCTGCAAGGAATTCGATGGAGAAACTAGTTGGTAAAAAAAACAACTTTAATCCCCGCTTCACAATTTGCGTAATAAAAGTTTCAACTTTATTGTTAATTAAATGGCCAGGACATGTCGGCGTCGTGCTCCTTACCCCAAAGGCCTTTTTTGACCAAAGCAGCTGCCTTTTGGGCCACACGTCTATCAATATCAATGTAAACGTACGATCTCTGGCCATCTCATAGCCCGAAAGTGTGGAAATTATAATAAATTTTAGCCGCATTTGGCCCGCAGTTTCTGTCGGCCAATAATTATGCAGACACCTTGCCAGTCTCTCGATCTTCGGCGAACTCCAATTGCATATTGCCATATTGACAGGGTGATGGATGTTTGGATCTTGAGTACTTTTACCCCGAAATGAAATCGATTGAGCCGCTCGTGCTGCAAAAGGAGTCTGCATATATGGGGAGTTGAGTGCACTAAGAGAAAACAGGGGTTACTGATGAAATATAAGCTAAATAGGCTTGTTAGGAGTTAGTTTGGTTAAGTACAGATTACTTTCTTCACACTTTATCCTATTTAATTTATACGACAAACGAAATCCTCTTTTCCCTGAGTGCAGGAAACTGCAACGGGTGGTCTGCCGTCAAGTGGCTGGACATTAAGATTCGTCCGGCGTCTACCGTTGGCCATTTAAGACAATAAATTTCATAAATAGCTTATGCATAAAATGCAGCCAGCCCCTGTCCCCCTCTCTCACTCTTGGCCGCTCCATGCCGAACGTGGGCACTCAACTCCCGCTGCGTTGATATTAATTGGACGACATAATTGCGGGGCCACGTTGGCCATAATAATGCGGAGTGCGGTTGGTGGGGTAATTGGTCTGGAAACACGTTCCACTGGCAGCACTCCCTTGCCAATCGATGCTACCTACCAGTGAAACCAACTACTGGAGTTGGAATTTGTATAAATTTGGCTAACATCAAGTGGAAGAGAGGGTCCTCGGCTACTTCCACGTAATTATGGGTTTGTGGCTTTTGCATCGCTGCCTTTGCCTTTTTGGCGGCGGCACATACTTGAAATTATCGTTGTGTGTCCGCCTTTAATTTATTGTCTTTGGCGCTGCCCTAAATCCAATTGTAATACAATACGCGGCATTTATCATATTTAAGTACCGACTCCAAACGCACACACATCCTGTATTTACGGCCTGCTAATGCGCGGTTTAAGTTTGATGAGTGCAGAACTAAAGGGGAGAAGCTTTCGCCCAGAAACTTATGCTTTTTCAACTTTATTTTTTTTCATAATAAAAACATTGTTCCTTTGTTCCTTTACTTTATTATTGGTATTACTTCTAATACTAAGCATTGTCTCCTTTCGATATCTCACACCAACCTTACCTTCCCAAAGATATTCTTAGCCAAAAACCCTCACAATTTTTGGGTTTGTTTGCTCATCATCAGGCTGAGATTGGTTCGGAACCAGCCAGGACATTGTTATGATTATAAATATTTATTTTATGCGCAGCTCTGCCCAGCTCGGGGCTTTGCTCCTCCCCCGTTCTCAGTGTGGAAATCGGTTAAATGGACTGTGCTGTTTATTTTTTCGTAGTCCCTTAATAAGCCCCATGAAAAATGGGCAAATAAAGGAAGGCGTCCGTTGGCGTTGGGGCGGGCAGGTTGATTCTTTGAGGACATCAAACATGTGTGTAAATGTGTGTGTGTGTGTGGCATGTGTGTATGTGTGTGTGTGTGTGTGTGTGGAGGGGTGGTTCGCGAAATAAAAATGGCGCTGAGCCAAAGATATGGAAGATGATAAAGACAGAGTCGAAGGAGCAACAGAAGCAGCACCAACAGCGAACAGAAAACATGTCCATGGCGAAATTGCGCACAATTACGGGGCAGAAACGGACTGTACTTCGGGCCAGCGCCCCTCTGCCACGCCCCCCTAGCGTCTTATCCAAGCGGAAAAGAATTATTACGTTGAATTTTCCCCCAAAAAAGCAAAAGGAAAAGGAAAACGAAGCGAAAGAATTCTCATTTTTTGATAGCCCACCAGGACGATGCCGCAAGGATACATGCAGAGAAAAAAGGATACTAATATCTGAGATTCTATTGCCAAAAATATCCGATTTAGAAATACAAATTTATCTTTTCCAGAAGGAACTTTAAGTTTCACAATATATTTTTTTTAATATTTTTCTACTTATTTTTTCCAGTGCAGCCAAGGATATGCCAGCCACATCGCTTGGCTCACGTGCATATGACAGTGGAGTAAACAATTTCATTTCGCGCAGCAGGACCCACCAGATAACTGCTACAAACGAGACGCAAGATGCTGCATTGGCGAAGGGATGAGAGGTTGAAAGGGGGGTGGTTGAGGGGCAGCAAGGACAACGACAGCACTTGAGTTCTGTTTTCGAAGCCGAGCAGGAACAACAACCACCGGCAGCATAAGAAGTTGCGTAAATATATTGTCCTGTCGCTTATTTTTTCAAGATGTGGAGTAGGGGGTGGGATGATATTTTCGTGAATCCGGGACAGGACTCAGGATGCAGGATGAAGGACTTGGGGACTGCGGACTGCGGACTGCGGTCGGCCGGGACCAATTCGAAACTCAACTGCCAGCGCCGTGGGCGTTTGGACGCAGTTAGTCGAGCGTGCCTGGCGGATTTTTTAATGCGTGCCTCTATAAATTTTGCACGCCTTTTGTAAATGTGAGGGCCAAGGAGTGAAGCTCCTGGAGGACGAGTGGATTTTCATTTTTTTTTTAAAGGGCGTTAGGAGTGGGATGTGAGTCGTGGGCAGCTGTACACGTGGCCTGACCAGTTTTTCTTCTTTATTCTTTTGGAAACTGTCAGATTGTTATTGTAGCTTCTGGGGGTTTGTCTCTCTTTACGAGCATCTTTTATATTTGTCATACGAAATGTTTATCCCCAATAATGTTTCATAAATAACATGGAACAACCCTGCATGCCAAGAAAGAATGTCAGAAGTTGGTAGATTTATTATAAACTGGTTATAAAAGCTGTCTGCTGAATGCAATTTCCAGTTCTGAACTTCAGTTTTTCTCTATTCAAACTCATTTTCCTCCTCCACACATGAGGTATCCAAAGTCAACTTGTTACCTAGACCAGAGCAAGCCTTAAACTTCATCAAGTCCATAAAATCAAACCAATCATTGAGTTCCTCGACTAACTTATCCTTAGGCTGTTCGGTGGTGTCCTCAGGGACCTCATTCCTGGACTCCCGCGGAGACACACAAAAGGCCAGCAGTAGATTCCGACGGCTGAAATGGATCGTGTAGAACGGTTCTCCCTTGCTGAAAAACGAGTTAACTAGCAAATCCTGAACACTTGATTCGTGAGTTTCCGCATTGCTTTTCTTTCGTAAAGTCTTAGACCTGCTCAGATATTCCTTCAGCACTCGCTCAAAGTCCCAAACGCTCAATTGATAGTCCTGCCCGCCCACCACCAACAAGTTATTATCCAAGGCTATAGCCATGGTGTTAATAGATGACTGGTGATGGTCCAAAAAACGAACTAACGTCTCACTGGCTGTGTCCCAAATTATGATTAGCTTATCATCACCGCCTGAAACCAAATAACGACCACAAATAGAGAAGACCAAGGTGGTAATCCTATCCTTGTGACCTCTGAAAAGACGGACTTGTAAGCCGCTGACTAGATCCCACATCCTCACTGTACAATCGGCAGATCCAGTGGCCAAGTAGTGACGATTGGGATGGAATTGGCACACCGCTAGCTCTGCCAAATGTCCTTGCAGAATTCTAGCTGGTTTCCTACTATCCTGCACCCAAATTCTGGCCGTACAATCATCCGAGGCTGTAGCAAAATAAAAACCCATTGGGGCATAAACCACAAAGCAAACGGGGGACAGATGACCAGGATAAATGACCACACAATTCCAGGATAGAAGACACCACAAACGTACGGTGAAGTCCTCCGAACAGCTTAGCATAAACCGATCCTCCGGGTCAAAGGAACAACCGTAAACAGGTCCCTGATGCCCGTGAAGAGTACGTCGGGTGAACTTCTTGGTTGGATCCAACATGCCCTTATCAATCCCAGCCATGCCGGTGTCCAGCACTTTCAGCCAAGTTGCTGGCTTAAGTTGAACCAATTTCGAAGGCTTTAAAGAGAAAATGTATATGGTTGAGGATACGGTGCCCAGGGCTAGCATGCTGATGCTCTCCGAGAAGGTGACACAAAGTACCACCTCATCGGAGGGAGCAGAGGTGTAAAGGTAAGTAGAAGGCAATTTATTACGATCCAGCCTGTCTCTATGCTGTTCATCATTCTTCCGATGAAGCAAGTCCATTCTCTTCGGATTGGGATTATAAATCTTTCCGGGCAAAGGCAAATGTAGATTCTTGCAGATTTGCGGTTCATTCTTTCGCCTGCGACGTTTCTGCAGGAAAGGGCGAGTACTAAAGTCCTTTTTATGCAAAGGTTCGGGGGCACCGTAAAATATGGGTTCCAAGAGAGGTTGTCCAGGCATGTAACGCTGCTGTGGAATAGCTGCCTCACTGTAGCTTTGAATCTTAAAATGGGCCAAAAGAATCTCCTGCTGACCCCTTGGCCAGTCCTCCATACAGTAGATAATCTGCCTATGAGCTCCTTCTGACATCTGAATGTCTAACTTCTCATGACCAGCCAACAATTTTCTGGCCTTATTGGGCACTTCATCCGGCCTGCATATGTATCTGATTTTCAATATTCTTGATGAAAAGGAATCATCTAGATGGTCCTGATAGCGATTCAGGAACAACCTTGCTCTCTGAACCTTATCACTGGCTATCATCTGCAGATAGGCTATGGCAATCAACGGATATAGCAGTAGAAATATCTCGTATTTGTAATGACTTGGAGCCAATCTAACGAGTTTAACTATGTTCCTGACTGCCAGATCGTACTCCACGAAAACTGAATCCTCTTTGATGACTAGCACACTGAAGTTTTCCAGGACCTCTGGAAACTGAGCATTATCTTCGAAAAAGTCCGAACCATCATTTGGATTAACCAGTCCTGCACCGGCATCTACATCCATCTCGGAATCACTTTGATTTTCCTGAGCATTAGGGCCCTTTTCAGGAGAGTTTTCTTCTTCCTTTAAAATAGCCATGAGTTCTTCGTGGGTTATTTCACCATTGTCCACGGGCAGTCCGGACATTTCCTCCCAATACGATATTTTATTAGTGGCAGCTTGGTCATCGAAATCTGTGGAAGCACTGACTTCCTCATCCTCGCGACTGGAAGTGTCACTGCTAGAGCTAGATTCTGAACTAGAATCACTGTCAGACGAAGATTTATCCTTATCCTTTTCGCTTCTGTCCGAATCGCTTTTGTCACTATCATTCTTCTTCTTTTCTATTTTACTGGGATTTATTTTTTAAATAAGTTAGATAATCTTACATATTAGGTCAAACTTACAGTCTCTGAACACTAGTTTCAGGTTCTTTGAAAGTCTGCACCATTTCAAACTGACTGGTTTCCTCATCGTAGATGGGCATCGAAGGCATGGGCCCACTATAAGCAGGACGTGGATTGCATTCCTCTTCAGGCTTTAACTTCGAGTCTCTAGGGGTAAGGAAATAAGATCATAAACTTAGTATTCTGAAGAAGGTTATAAACGCAACTCCAACCTTTTCCCCAGCGAAAGAAGATTAACGCTCTTTATACTCGACAGCCATTCCTCGCCGGGTGAACCTGTAGCTCATTTTTGTCATTTATGATCTCCCTAAAACCGATAGACTCACCATCAGAGCTGGTATTACCCCAATCACTGACATCATCCGAATCCGAGCTAGATGACTTTTCAGTTTTACCTCCATCTTTATCTCCTTGGTCATCGGAATCTTCGATATCCAAACCCATTTGCTCTTGGAACTCCTTCAGATACCATTGGTTCATCTTCTGGTTGGACTTGGCCTTAGCCTGATTTTCATTTTGTTCTTCCTGTTCTTTCTTCAAAAACTCTTTTTTTATCTCTTCCCGTGAATCATCAGAAGATTCGAAACCGGAAATGTTACCCAATTCTTCATTGAGCGCTCTGCGGAATTCTTCAGCTTCCGCATCTGAACCATCTTTGCTCTCTTCCTTCTAATCATTTTTCATTGGTATTTTAAGCTAAGAAAACGCATTTTTACTTACGTTATCAGGCTTTCTTTCTTTATTCATGTTTTTCGTATGAATTTTATTTGCTTTTCAGCAATTTGTAAAAATTTTCTTTTCCTTTGTCAAGATTTCTATTTGACAGCTCAAAATTGTGTGGCTGCATTTTGGAGTTAATTTTCCTTAATAAAAATGTTAAATTTACAGAAAATGGTGAAGCCTTTTAATAATACTTCTTCTAAACTAAAAACCAAGTGTTGGTTAACTTATTATTAGTACCGTAAATTCACCTTTTCCAACACTCTTAAAAAGTTGCCATACAAAATAACTCTACGGCATTGCCAGCTCAACTTTTGCGGTTGATTTTACGCTTTCGAATATTTTTCGCTTACGTTTTTTCCTCTTTTTTTGTACACTTTTTTTGTATCCCAACATGACGCGACGACGACCGCTGATCTGAAACAAAATGCTGGCACAGCATCACATCACATGAGGGCGCTAGAATCCAGGGTGGCCTTAAAAAACGGTGCGAGAGAGGGGTGTTGAGGGACTGGTCTGTAGGTACGGAAAAAAATTAATTTGCATACCCAATATTCCAACGGATTTGCTGCTGCGACGTGGTTTCCCAGGCCCAATGTCTGTTTGAGGGATTCTCTTGTTTTTGAATACCCTTTTAAAGGGTTTATTGGATTTGGGGTAAAAAGATCATCTTGGAGTAATAATAATAATTCACAGAAAGAGTCTCTTTTACCTTCTAGAATAGAGGTAAGGATTTGGATATGATATGATATATACTCACCTTTAACTCATCAACTTAAAAGAAAACAACTAAAATATCTCACCTTAAAGTATTTCCTTAAACTTACAAAAGTTAAAGGGTATCCCCCATTCGATTCCCATAGCTAGCCTCATATCTTGATTTCCTTTTTTCCCCAGCTCACTTGTTAGTGGAATCAGGCGAGTATGCTGGCGAGCCTTAACCCGCGGATGCGTTTGAAATTCTTCTGTAGTTCGGGCAATATGTCGGTTCTGGCAACTCACTTTGCAGGACACAAAAAAAGAGAAAACAAAAGATGACACAGAGTAAAAAATGAATATACAAAAAATGGACGACAGGACAACCCGCAGCAGAAGCAGCAGAAAATATAGCTGCATATTGTTTTGTAATTTCCACAATGATTTACGGCCTTTAAGGGCTTTAATAGAAACTTGTTAATAAAATGCATACACACGAGATACAGCTCTATCCATGGATGGGTATGTATGTCAGTAATCAAGGGCCACAGTTAGATGGAGCCACAGAACAATGGCAAACAAAGCCTCATTATGGCTAACAACAATTGCCAAATCACTTGATATGTAATGCTGGGCCATAAATAAATCACACTGCAGCATAATCCATTGTAAAGTGTCGAAAAACTGCAATTGAAATGCAAATCAATGCAAATCGATACTTGAATCATCACCAGCAGGCCAGGCGGCCGTCGCAGCAAACAAACCGAAACTTGAACATGAATGATTCATGCAACGCACGCGAACATTCAAATGCAAATGCCCAGAATGCCACGATGCAAAAATTCCAAATGCAAAAATTATCCAAAAATGCAAATCGAAATGTTCGAGAGCGAGTGCGAATGTCCCGCTGTGAGGGCAACAATCAAATCAAAATAAATGCACACCACACACACACACACTCCTCACTCCGAAACTGCAACAAAGCCAAAAATAAACACACGGCAAACAATGCAGCTTGTGGATTTTCGCACTTCCGGTTAACTGTTGCTAATTTGATTAGGGAATTTTCCCATTCAAAAAAAAAAGAGAGCGGGTAGCAAAATAAGGGGCGTGGCAAGCGAAAAGGCCATAAACAATTTGAGCCGCTGCTGATTTCGCTTGGGCTGCCAACTTATGCAAATTATCTTGCGTGATTTATGCCCAGAACATTCTCGCCTTCCACTGGAGCAGCAGAAACTTTGCTCCTTGGGGTGCTGCCGCTGCAAATTGAATTTCACAAAATACCTCAGACGTCGGCTCGATGGGGTACATTTATCACTGTAATAGTGGGTTTTAACACTTAAATATAGCAAATGTTATTAAAGGTTCGGAAAACTTACTGAAAATAAGAAGTTTATTTTAAGGTTTCGATTTTATGCAAACCAATCAGCAGCTGAAGTCTCATATTTATTATATTTTTACATAAATTAAGTTGCATAAACCATAAAATAGTTATTTATATCCCTTAGACTTCCCAAAAAACGTCATCTTCCAGCCCATAACTACTTTCACACGCCATCCAAGGATGCTGAAATTGCTCATTTAAGGTCCTGTTTTCTTAGATTGAAATCTTAAAGGCAGCCTCATATATATTCAATTCAATCATATCCTGTCATCTTAGCACACCAGGAAACTGGTTCTTGAGTAAAGCCCTTTTTGCCCTTCCTGTCGCCAGCATTGTTCGTCCCCCCCTCCTCTAAACTTGTCCGTGTCGATTGTCATGCTAATTGAGGCAAAAAGGATTCCCAGGATTCTTAGGACACCGCCAGGACCAGGTAGATGCTGTCAAGAAACTTAGTTCCTTAGCAGACATTGTCGCGTAAAGTGCGCTCGAAAGGAAGGCAGTCGTTAAATAAACCATAAAACAAGCAGTCAGCCATGGAAAACAAATAAAGCCCACCCACAAAATAATAGCCTCGCTTGGTTGGCTGGAGGAGGATAAAAAAAGCAAGGAAAATGCCCCCACCAAGAGTAAAAACCACAAGCTTGACAAACATTAACACGGCCTCTGACGCAATTTAACACCAATTACAATATCCGTTACATCTAATTATTGTAAGCAGCCCACAAGGAAGCCACTGGGCAGCCGTCTTGCCGACTAAATTAAAGAAAAACACCGCCGCAGCCAGGACATGGGTGGCGCCATTTGCGGTTGCCAGGACATTAACAATGGAAACTCAAAAAAAAAAAAGAAAGAAAATATATATATATGTATATAAGGAAGCAGCAAATGGCGGCTATAAAACAACAGAGAACAGAACCCATGAAATATGAGCAGGAAGCTCAAGGAAAACGCATTGGTGGGCGGCGGCTGGGGTGAACATTTCTTAATTTCCAACAATTTACGCTGAAAGCTTTCAGCGCTCAAATGACGCACAGGCGGCAGCAGGACTCCAGTGTCCTGTTCGGTTCTGTTTTCTTTTTCCTTTGTATTTTTCTGGCTCTGGTTCTGGTTCTGGTTCTGGTTCTGGCCAAGGCGACGATGATGATCTAACGCCATTATTTCCCCGCCAAACGACAGGCAGTTGTTAATGGGGCTTACCACTTAAGCGCGACGGCATAAAATAAACACGCGGTCTGCAGACCGCCCTTATCCACTGCCACGCCCCGCTGCCCTCCGCCCAACAGCGGATGTCCTGGCAAATTAATTAACATGACGCCCAGTCGCTGCCAGCATTTTCCACACTCAAAATAATGAAGTTCATTTTGGAGTTTCCATGGCTTAAAGTGCGAAGAAATTTTGTAACTTAAATTTCCTGAAAACATATAACCCGATAAATATTATAAAATTAATGATAAAAAACAGTTCGTTATAAAATACATATTTTTTAAAGTAAAACCTTCATCAAAATGAAATTAAAATAAAGAAGCTCCCATCAACTTTTCCACAATTAGCCAACACATTTTCCCAAGTGCAGCTTTTCGCCGTTTTTCTTACTTCTCCCTGCTGTTTTTGTCTTTTGGCGGTTTTTTCTTCGGCTTAATTGTGGACCATCGTCTTCAGTGCTTCGGGGTGTCCTGTTCTGTCCTTTCAGAAAATATTGGCATGGGGCGAGTTTCCCGGCGGCAGTTTAACAATTAAGAAACGTTTAAAGTTCGGTGAATTTGGGGCGCGGCTTTCCTTTGATTACAAGCCACGAACAACAGCAGCAGGAGGAGGATGAGGATCTTGGTAAGGTGGGGAGAGCTACTTGTGAGTCCTTTGCAGGACATTCAACATACGCGGCACGTTGTCTGCATCCGTTTGACACCTTTTGTCGGGCCCAAAATGGCACAGGAAATGAGCTGGCCCGTACGTGACTTGTTTTCGTTGTTGCCAAGCAAATTGGAAATGTAAAATATATTTCGGCTGCTCAAGCTCAATTGTTTGGCTGCTTAGAAAAGGGTCACCAAGGGGGGGCTTAACACTCTTTAAGACTGACCGAAGTCAGTGCGGCTGTTTAACATTCTAAATTTGTGCATTCGCTCAATTTCCTTCCATTCCCCGAAAATGTAATTACCCCCCCAAAAAAAGAAAGGGCGGCTGCGAAATCTTTCTGATTTGACACGAATTTCTTGGTACCCAAGACTCCGGGCCGGAATAATTAGTGTCCATTGAAGGGGCGCCTCGGGCGTTACGTGCCAAACAGAACGCCCTGCGGCAAGGACGAAGGCGCTCCTTCGAGGACTGTCCTTCGTCCTCGCCGAAGTCCTGGCATAATTGCAATTAAAATGTTCGCCGGGAAGTGCAAACACTCGGAGGCAATTGCCGTGCACAGAAATAATAACAGGCAGATTGCGCAAATTAAAATATAATTAGAGATAAACAAGGCGCTAAGATGCGGTGGGTGGGCAGGGAAATGCTTTTAAGCTGTGGCCTACACTTAAGGGAAATTATTTCGAAACCTCAAGGCTTCTCCTTTCCGAATTTTGATGATTTCTTACCCACATTTTTCCCAAAATGAAGGAAATAATGATATACCGTTGCACTTTTTCTTTAGAATTATTAAACTATTATGAAACTAAAGTTTTATAATCTTCCAGCACTTACACAGCTCATAAAACTGCCCTCTTTTTATCGCCAAAATTGCAGTGTATACAGTGGCGCCCACTGGCGTGCGGTGGCCGCGAAATGCCACGCACTTTCCACTGGAAGAAGTTTTTTTGTAGGGCTGGAAATTAGCGTAAGACAGCCCACCTTTTTTTCGTTTTTTTTTTCTTCCTACGAGGGTTGAACGAGTGAGTGAGAGGGAGGAACGAATGCAGAGTGAGAGGGAAGGAGATTATAGAGGAGGCCAGTTCGAATTCCCGGTACCTCCTAACTAACGAGCAAGTAATTTTGTGGGCCAACTGAGCCGCCTGGCAGCGTCTTTAATGTTGCCTTGGCTACTTTAAGCCTCCGTTGTCTTGGCCTTTTGCCCATATTAAGTATACGCCGTGCCGGCGAGGTCGTAAATTGGGGGTGGTGCTATTTTCTCAGGAGGGTAGGCCTGTGAGGGTCGTTTTTTTTTTTGGCCACACCTTCCATGCTCGCAGGGGTGACTAAACAAGGAATATGTATTTATTTTTTTCCTGCGTGCGCCGAGCGTTCGCTTTTACTTTTGTTTGCTTGGATTTTCGATCGAAAGAAAAAAAATAATTTTATATAGAATAAACGAAAAAATGAAATAAAATAAAAAGAAGAGAAATGAGGAAGAACGAAATTTGCTTCGCTGCCGCTTTATGAAATGTCAAAACTTCAAAGCGAACTCAACTTAAATGCAAGAAAATGAGAAAATATTCACTTGAGTGCGTATGCGCTCTGTCGTCGCTGGCATCCATCCTCATCCTGTTTTCCCTGATTTCGTGTCCATTGTCCTTCAGTCCTTGTTGTTTTCGTTTTTGTTTGCGATGCTGCTGCTGCTGCTATTGCTGTTGCTGTTTGAACTGTTGTTGATAGCCTTTATTAGTTGTTGGCCCAAAGCTTAGGCGCTTACGCATTTTCTCCCCCAACCCCACCCCAAGCTCAACTTTCACTTCCTGTCCCGAAATTTCCACATCAAGACTCGTGCCCTCTGCAAATAGATATAATTTTCTACTGGCCTGGCAGGCAGCTCTCGTTTTTCCTTGTTTTTTAGATTTCTTTTTTTTTCGGGCAGCAAATTTTATTAAAAAATTTTATATTAAATCAATTGCGTGGAGATTTTCTTCTTATATTGTGTTTTTCTGGTCGGGGTGTCAGATGTGCTCATGCATAAAGTTGCTTGGATGGGCGGAGGAGTGTGTAAACGGTGGGTGAGGAAGTGTAGAAAAATCAATAGAGGTAAGGCGCCATGAAATTCATAATTAAATTTTATTTTTCCTTAAATATTGAGTTAATAAATTATAACGTTTTAGCAACCTTTTCTTTTAAAATATTATATAAAAATCGATTTATTTGCGTATTTATCGGCCACCTTGAACTTTTAATTATTAATAATAAATTAGTCTGCTAAATGCCTTACTTAAATTGTCAATATTTTGACATGAACTGCCTGCAAGGGGAGACTATAAAAGCGGATACTTTCTCCTAATGGAAAACATTCTTCCTAGAAGATAGTTCTTAACCAGAAATAGCAGTGAAAATGACCAAAGTCGAGCCCGTAGAGCGCTATTGTAAGGTCATTCGGATGATCCGCTTCTGCGTAGGGTTCTGCGGAAACGATGTGGCTGATCCGAACTTCCGGATGTGGTGGCTTACCTACACTGTGATTGGAGCCATTGGATTCTTCTTCGCCTGCACTGGATATACCATCTATGTGGGTGTGGTCATCAACGGAGATCTCACTGTAATCCTGCAGGCTTTCGCCATGGTAGGATCAGCCGTCCAAGGATTAACCAAGCTTTTGGTAACCGCCAATATGGCTTGTCAGATGAGAGATATCCAAAACACTTACGAGAAAATCTACAGGTAATAAGGTAAACTAATGCTTACTTTAGCTATAGAAATATGTTTACCCTTCGTCAGAGAATATGGGTCAAAGGGTGGTGAATATGTCAACTGCCTGGAGAGAAGAATCCGCACAACCTGGCAACTAATCATCGGATTTATGCTCATGTACATCATTCTTCTGGGTCTCATAATCGCCTTTCCAATATTTTACTTGCTGATTTGGAACGAAAAGGTTTTGGTTATGCAATTCCTGATGCCACTAATTGACCATACCACCGATGGGGGTCACCTACTGCTCACTGCTGTCCATGTGGCACTAATTACCTTCGGTGGCTTTGGAAATTATGGTGGGGATATGTATCTCTTCCTGTTCGTCACCCATGTCCCTTTGGTCAAGGATATATTCTGTGTAAAGTTAAAGGAATTCAATGAAGTGGTTGAAAAAAGAAAAGATTTCCCAAGGATGAGGTCTATGCTGGTTGATCTCTTTACCTGGCATCAGCTTTATTCTAGGTAAGGAACTACATATTTTGGGATAATTATTTGAGTTTTTAAATCTTTTTTTAGCATTCTTCAAACCACCAAGAGGATCTATAGCATCGTCTTATTCGTTCAGCTCTCCACAACCTGCGTCAGTCTTCTCTGCACTATATCCTGTATTTTCATTAAAGCCTGGCCAGCAGCTCCTCTCTATCTACTATATGCAGCCATCATTCTCTACACATTCTGCGGCCTAGGAACTTTGGTGGAAAATTCTGTAAGCCAATCAATTACTATATATAAGGATATATTTTATTTCTTTATTTCAGAATGAGGATTTTCTGAGTGTGATCTACACAAACTGTCTGTGGTATGAGCTGCCTGTGAAGGAGGAGAAGCTCATCATCATGATGATAGCCAAGGCCCAAAAGGAGGTTTGCCTCACCGCCGCCGATATGGCCCCTTTGTCAATGAACACAGCTCTGCAGTTGACCAAGGGAATCTATAGTTTCAGCATGATGCTGATGAACTACTTGGGAAAGGATAAATAAAGAATAAATTAAATAAGAAATATATTAAAAATATATACTAAATATAAATACACTGTAGGGCAAAGGAATTGTAGTGCATATCCCAGAAAAATTATAATTATATAGAAATTTTCCATCCAATCTAAACTCAGACTTTCATTGGGAAGAATAATGCTTCTCAATTCGACCACCGCCTTGCAACTTTCAAATGCCACATTTACTTCCTTCTAATGCTGCTGATGAGCAGACTCGCGGAGTAAATTTGGGCGGGGAAAAGCTGATTAATTTCTGCTCTTTGTCTAATGAACTTGCGGCAAAAGAATTTAATAAACAGACTCGCACTTTATGGGACCACAAAAAATATGATGTCTGCCAGGCCACAGACCATGAAAAATAGTAAAAAGCGAAGAAAAAAAATGGAAAAACCAAAAGGAAAACCCAGGCGATGTAAATGAGGGAAAAGTATGAAAAAGCATCGCTGGTAAGTTGTAAAAATTGTCTTTTAATGCCTCGCAAATCCAGCAGATTGCCACGTAGTGCTAATAAAATAAAGTTATGTCCGGGCATAAAGAACAAAAAGCCCGCGCGCACCGCTAAAACGCACCAAAAATAGTGGAAAACGGAAAAATCCACCAAAAATCCACAAAAAAAAATGGCGTTGAAAATTGAGTGCGCGGGCGCAAGACGACGGCCCAAGATGGTTGAGATGCGGGGTGAGGTGAGGTCGGTAAACGCATCATTAATCAAATGTCCGAAGCGTAAGCACCGTTATTCATCATTGCTTATGGATAAGGTGCTGCTTCACCTCCCCATCCACCAACTTGAAGGACTGCCTTATCCCCTCGTGCAGAAGCCTCTCAAGAAAGTCCGCATGAGTTGCCATATTCCTTCGACTGGATTTTTGGTAAAAAGGAAATTTGGTCGGACTGCTGCAGGGATCAGGAACCAAAGGGAGAGTATTCGGGAGTTGGTTAATAAGTTTGTTATTAAAAATATAAAATTTAAGTAATTTCTACTGCTATATATAAATTTAGTTCACATAAGTTAAATATCTTAGAAATTCCCATTTTTAAAAAGGGTAAAATGGCTTAAAAATCTTATAAAAATTTCTTACGAAAATATTAAAAAATTTCTATAACATCTTAAATACCAAATATTTCAAAATAAAGTAATAAAATAGTTAATAAAATTGAAAATAACATAATAAGTTAATTCAACATTCGTTATGCTTCCAAAACTCAACTTCCAAAAATGACATTTAAATTTTTCTCAATTCTTTTATAGAACTCTGGCAAACACACACGTGGCTGAATGTCAAGAAAATCCACCAAAAATGAACTCTAGTCTAGAGTTTCCCACTCCAGGCTCTGTTTTATTTTTTTACCCGCCACCCTAATCACTTTCTCAGCCACCCTAATGGCGCATATCAATTTGGCTCAGCCACGTGCTGATGATTTCTTTCCATTCTTTTTCTACAATTTTTTGTATTTACTTTACTTTTATTTTCGTTTTGAGGGAAAATGTTTGGCTATATACTGAAGAGCTTGTAGTGTGTATTATTGCGGCCTGAAAGTGAATTTCGTGGATTTTTTTTTAGGTAGAACATCATAAATCAGGCTTATATTGCGGAGAATCATCAAACAGGCGACAACTTTTTGCAGGAAAAGGCAGGCGGCGGTCTGAGAACGAGGAACCGGAACTGCTAATGGAGTTTTTACATTAGAGATTGCTTCCCGTCAGAATGTTGTTTTTATCGAGATGCTGCTCTCTAACACCCCTTCAAGTGTCAGTTACATATTGTCGGGACAACAACAAAACGCTTCACTTTCCATCACAGCCAACACAATCCGTCGACAAAAAAAAAAAAAAAAAAAACACAGGAAAAAAAGGTTAGAACCAAAAAATTTGCATACCCAGCAGCTGAAACAGGATGCGTCCTTTCTCGTTACTTTTTCGGTGTTGTTGTGGTTGTCTGTCCAGGAAGTGTGCACATTGAAAGGTTTTATTTTTTTTCACTCTCTGCCAGTAGCTGTCCTCATCATTTTTTTGGTGGAAAACGAAAAAATATTGTGTAGTCAAAGTAAAAATGTTAGCTATTAATTGGCCCAATACGAAGAGGAACAAAACGCCAGAAGGGATGCCGTAAGAGAGGCAGCTGGGGTGAAAATCTCCTAAATTAAATAGAAATTATATGCAAATTTGAATTGAGTTAACCCTTCGACGGCAGGAAAATCATATTTGGTTACATTTCCACATCACGTCGACGTGTTTAAGTACGCATCATTTGGCCGCTTGGCTGTAATTTAATTGCTTTGCCCCGGCGGGGCAGGTATCCTTGACTTGGCCCTGTGCGGCAATGAGGCAACTAATTTATACCGTCGCCTTTTTATTTTTCTTCCTTTCTGGTAGGGTTGAGCGAGCGACTTTGTTGCACGTGAATCGCCGTCGAGGAGTTGCCTTATTAATTATTATTCTAATTAATAAGACGCAGATGGTGGAAGAAGGGGAAGGGTAAGTAAAATGGGAAATAATAAAAAAGAATAATAAAAAGAAAAACACGGATGCCGGGCAATTTGCATATGAGTGACACAACAGGACATTTGCTTCCTGTCACGCAGCTCGGCGAAGAGGACACAAAAGAGGCGACAGGCACGTTCAGAAAGATCCAGGATCGAGGGGTGGGCAATCCTTCTTTTTCTTTCCAGCCTCTCCAGAATAAGTCTGCAGCATAAGTCTCATGCATAATGCAAGTGGAAAAAGGCCCGTGAGAAACTCCCAGGACGAAAATTATAGTCCTGCAAGACAAGGAGCTTATTCTTAGCAGCTGGCTTTTGGCTAGTTTTTCCAAGCCAAAATAAACCTCTTCCACTATCATATCAACAGGTTAGCGAAATCCCTCACAAATCAATCAGTTGCCGCCCAAACAATTTGCCAAAATCTATAAACCCCTGTAATCCCCACCCCTTGAACGATCTACCCCTGATCGATTTGCAAGAGATTTGCCAAATTGGCAGAGTCAAATGTCAAAGCAATTAAGTCGCAAAATCGAATCGATTTTCAGGGGTCGCAATCCCCTTTTGTCACTGCCACATTATCATTGTCATGTTTGCTAATTCCCATTGTTGTTCTTCGTGTTTGCCATTTCACTTTCACCTTTCGCTTTGTGTGCCAATCTCTCTTTTCTTTCTGGTTTTCCCCAGCCAAGGGTCGAGGGTTAGAAGTATGCCAATTTCCGTTGGTTGTTCTAATTATGAGGTGAAGTTATGACAGCCGCGGATTACAAAAGTAAACACAAGCCGCTTGAATGGGCCTTGATTACTCGTCGCTTTCTTCTAATGGTTTTTGATTAATTGGGGTTGCTAAGTAGGGTTTTTACAGAAATTATTAGTCTTTTGATGGTATTTATGTAGTATATGCAAAGATAACGTAAGCTAACAGAAGTCAACGGGCAGCTGATTGACTTATTTACGACATTACGTTACGTCATAAAGCTCTCATATTTGCGTAGGCGCTGTGAATCTAAGTAAGCGTTAGTCCTAATTTAGTTTATTTTTGTATGTAAGCCTAGAGCGCCGATAAATCATGATAACGGATTGCGAGATTTTATCTGATTGGCTATCGGCGGTGTCATGATTCTTCTGTACAACATTTCTTAGTCACCTATTCTTTGTTTTTAACAATTTTTGCACTTTAACAACAATTTTAAGGAATTTAATATATTTATATTCCCCCAACAGCTTCATAAAGTCACTTTTCTCGTTGTGTAACAATTATTTGTGAACTTCTTTCTCGGATTTCATTGTGCTTTCAAGGAATCTTGCTCTCAACTTGGAGTTCAACTGGCGGCTGCCTTTGTTTTCTGGCCGTTTCAATGAAATTCATAAAAACAATTTCTTTTATGGCAACTCCAGGAGTCCCCCGTTCCCAATTTTTGCCAACGTGCGTTGCTGGGTTGCCGAGGCTCAACGAAATTGGTTTTTAAAAATATTTCACATTTCAATCTCCCCACTTTCCCCCTCTCTTTCTTCTCTCTCTCTCTCTACCACTATATATATATCTCTCTGTGGGCCACCTTGGCCGGGAAAATTTGTAATAAAAGCCAGTGTCGTCCCGCCTCTGCTGTGGGAGGATTGGATTTATGGAGAAGGAGGAGAAAACCCAGCCCTGCCCAGACCAAGCCACAACAGTTGGCCAGGCCAAACGCACCGCACATTGTTGGCTTTTTTACTGTCCCCACAAATAACAATCAAAATATAAAATATCCCCCCTCACCGCTCTTCCACTCCGTTACTCCCCACCCCCGGGTTGCCACTGGGGATAAGATTCTGCCGGAGGGAAATCGCCGCAAGTCCTGTGGGGCAGGCGGCTCTGTGGAAATTACAGGTGCCTAATGCAAATTTGTGTGGCATATTTCCAGCTGAAAAATAATATTCGCTTTTCGCTGCGTTGGCTCAAAAAATCTACCATTTTATCTTCTTATTTTCTGCATCTTCTTTTTTGCCAGTTTTCCCTTTTTTTTTTTTGGATTTTGATTTTGATTTTGATTTTGAGTTTTTCCCTTTTGGCTGCGGCAACTCCGCTTGATTGTCATCATTGAGGCTGAAAAACAGATTTGCCTCCAATCAACGTGGCACTTAATTTCGTTTATTTGATTGGATTTGTGTTTACATGGCTGCCCCTGTGAAAATCTGTGGGTGGAGGAGATGGTTAGTGGGTGGGTGGCTGGCTGACGGGCTAGCTGGCAAGGCCAGACATGTGGGTGGGCGGGCTGTTAGAGGACCGAAATTCGTTGCAAATTAGAAAATCAAATCACTTTTGGCCGGACTCACACGCCGTCGGCAAAAAAGGAAGAGCAAAACGGAAAGAAAGAGAAAACCCACACACATAAATTTATGAATATTGAAAAATTAAATCGACATTTTCGCCACCCTCAATAGAGCCCAAAAATAAAAAAAAAACGTGCAAAAAAAAAGGAAAACAAGAGGGCAAAAAAAAAAACATGGCCACGGAAGTTGTGCGTTGTTGTTGTTACTCAGCTTTTTTTTCGACCATTTTTCCAATGATGGATTTTCGAAATTTTAATGGTTGCTCTCGCTGCTTGGATGAGCTCAGGAGTCCGGGGAGTCCCGGACTTCTGGCTTCCCAGAGACCTAAAAAACACGGAGTCAACTTCGTCAGCGTCGTCTGGCGTTGTCAGGCATGGTGGGTGGGGGTGGAAATTCGCCAGCGAGGGGTGGAATCCATCCGTGGGTGGGTGGTTTTTTTTTCCCTCTATTTGGTTTTTTTTTCTTGCCCTCCTCCGTTCACTTCCTTTGTTTGGGCAGCCATTGAGGGTGATGGTGGGCGGTGTGGGTGCCAAGGCTTAAGGGATGGAATCGATATTTGTTTTCCCTGGCAGCAAAACAGAAACAGCAACGGCCAGGACACCCGGGACATCCAGAACCAGCCAACCCCCCTCCCCCCCTCATCGATACCCGCCTAATCCAATGTCTCAGGAGCTTCGGCGTCCTAATCAATATGCGCAAATGATAATTTTTAATGGCTTCCGAGCGCGTTTGTTTACCAGCGAGGCAGGCCAACATCGCTGATTTGGTTACAGTTAGAGAAAGTTCAGGTATTCTTGGTAGTACTTAAAACAAGAAATGAAAGTTTTCCACAAAACTATAAGGAAAATGAAACTCTTCTTATGTGAGAAACCAAATTAAAACCAATGCAGGGAATGCCAATTTTAGAAATTTCAGTTTTATGAGCTGATGTGCAGCTTAGGCGGATCTAGCAAAATATTTTTTACTTAACTTATTTAAACATTTTTAAGCCCCATTGATTTCCCGTGTAC